CCCATCCATCTGAGTTTTAAGATGTCTCGATGGAGAGGATTGATGGCAGTAAAAGGCCTCTCTGGAGAGAGGCCCCGGGTGAACAGATGAGATCACAAATCTCATCTCTTTCTCTGTCTCATTCTCTTTCTCTCAGTCTCTCTCTCTGTCTCCCTCTCACTTTCTCTCTACGACATACACAGACACAGGTGCAACACACACAGTGAACAGTGCATATCCAAACATTTATATCACCCCCCCCCCACACACACACACACACACACGCGCCTTTCATCTTCATGGTGGCAGTAAACAGTGTAAAGAAAGTTCAAAGAAGAGAAGTCTGAGCGAGTCTTCAAGGTTCCTGGGAAGATGTGGATTCTGACTCTGTAGGATGAATTAGGAGTCCAAGCATCTTTTAATGGGCGGGTTGTGAGTATACTGCCAAGATGCCATGGCCTTTGTTTTACTCTTCCTTAGATGGTATTCCTTTTTTATCATATAATCTGCATTCTTTCCCCCAGAACAGGACCTATAATACGTGCTGAGTGATTTGGTGTTTCTCAACTGTGAAAACAGATGTTAATGTGGGCTTTCATGGGAAGTTGAACCAGGAATCAGTCCAATAATGGTTGGTTCAGTTGCTGTGTGTGTAAGTGTGGCGAGACATACGCATTAAGACAGACAGAGAAATGGCCGCAGGCTGGATTAAAGGCCATTTTCACCACCAACTTCAAGGAATTTCTACAATTTAGCATTTAAACATTTCAGAATCTTGGCACCCAACCATGGCCACAAGCTATGAAGATCCTTGATTCTACTACAGGATCATGGTCCTCTGTCGTGTCATTTCATTAGTGTAATGACCCATCGATTTAGCATTTATGCAACAAATTGTATTGAGGCTGGCTGTGGGCCAAGTCAATCACAGGCAGGGCCGGCTGTGCATCTTGGCAAAAGAAGGTGATTAAACCGACTTGGAAGAGCTGGGAGAGATTCTGTTTCCCTACCGACAATCTGGAAGCAGCCTGCAAGCAGTAACACGTGACTGAGTTTCCTCCATTCTGTCATTGTCTTCTCAGGGGTGGGAGGAGGCAGGTGGGTGCGCCTCACCCAGGTTTGGCACATTTGGCCCAATGAGGTTTGTGTGGAAGAGGTGTGGATGGCTCAGAGCTGGAGCAACACATGGTCTTGGCATTGTGGTTGTGCGATGGAATGTGTTTAGGCAACAGGAACATCTTGAAATCCTGCTCAACCTTAATGTGTTAATTTCCTCTTGTTGAAGAAGATTTGTTTTTTTCTTCAGCACAGGCCATGCTCCTACACAAAGGGTCACCTATGTACAGGTATGACCCAGGATGGTTGTAACATTTCTGAAATTTCTGCCTATACCCTGGAGCTCAGTAATACAAACTAGTCACATGTGTCTGCTACTAAATAGGGTTGACCCCTATTACTCAGTAACGTGTTACTGTAATAATATTCCATTTCCCAGTAACTAGTAGTGTAACTAATTACTTTTCTAAAACAGTAATATTATTACAGTTACTAATCCAAGTAACGCTGTGTTACTGCGTTACTGAACGCACCATCATTGACGTGAATGCACAACTGTGCGGCAGGACAGCAGCACCCGACTTTGTTGTTCATGTCCACTGTTAGCCAAACACTAAAGGCAGAAAGGAGAACGAGGGAGAGAGGCGTTCTTTCCACAGCTGTAAGTAGCTACTGCCATTATTGTGTCACAGTCTAAGATGCAAAGAACATTGTCATTTATTGTAAACTCTGTAAGCTTTCAAACATTTCTACATCTTATTTATTGAAGCAAAAGTTATAATATTACTTTTTAAGGAGTAATAAGTAACAAGTAATATATTAAATTTCAGAGTAACTTGTCCAACACTGATTATGATATAAGGAATGTGAGAGAAACATGATATTGAAAGCTTTTATTCAATACTTAACATAAGTGTGTGTGTAGAGGTGACTCAAGTAGCTTACTTACTGGCAGTCACAGTGATGACATAGTGGTGAACACAATGCAATTTGTTTGCAACAAAAAATGTGCTAACGTCCACCAATTGAATATTAGTGTTTGTTTGTGTTTGTTTGTCTTGCATTGTCCCAGTGTTGTTAGATGTGGCAATCCAACTAAACATTTTCTTGGAGTATGTTGTAATATTTTCAGACTCTTTTAGCCATGAACTAGCTTACCTTACAGCTTACAGCTAAAACATTAGCTTTCATGCAAGTTATTGCTATCTACATAAACACACAATACACGTGATTTAAAGGTTCAGTGTGTAAAATTTAGGAGCAATGCAATTTAATACCTATAACAATGTTTTCAGTGGTTATAAAGATCTTACATAATGAATTGTTTTTATTTTTAGGTTTCAAGGTTTTTATTACCTTTGAATGAGCCATTTTTATCTACATACACCGTGGCTCCTCTTACATGTTGTGTCACCATGTTTCTGCAGTAGTCCTAAGTGGACAAACGGCGCAACAGAGCGAGTTTCGTTACTACGTTGAATACGTACGAAGAAGAAGAAGAACAAGTAACGTTAGTAGTAGAAATCGACTGGTTTATTAGAAGTAATAAGAGAAGAGAAATTTGGACAAACCGTAGGTTCTCTGTGTGCTTGGAAAGGGTGGGGTGAGCTGTGTATTCATGAGTTGTGCAAAATCACGTATTGGATATAAAAATTTTGCAAACATGTAATCTATAATATGGTTATGCGTGTTGTTTATACATTCTGATAATGCTAATCCAACACATCTTTGTAGTAGCATCCATGTTGATTCCACATTCTGACTTAAGAGCACATGAACACACACTGAAGTCGGAAGAACAACTTCACAACTTGCACTGTGAACCGCTGGTTGCAATTCGACACCTTCACCACTCAATGTCACTAAAAGGTACACACTGAATCAGAGCTCAGAGACACAACTAAAGAGCCCACAACATAAATGTTTGGTTATCGTTGTAAGGTAATGTTGTGGTTAAAACCCACAGGGACAAGTTTAGAGTCTTTGAGCACCATTGATTTCTGAGAATGATTTTTATGTTGTCTGTCATTTTCTGTTTTATTTCTTTATTATTTTTATTTCTATTTGTCTTTTTCTCTTTCTCTCTAATTCTCTCTCCTTCTGTCGCTGGCTCTTGTGTGCCACTGTGTCAGCCTAGGCATCACAATACAGGGGTGACATTTCAAGCAGACAGATTAGGGCTTCTCTCCAATTAATTTTGCTTTCCTTCCCCTGTTAAATACACAATCAACCAAAGGCAAAATGTCAGTGAAACAAACGAGGAGCCGCCATGTGGCTGACAATTACCGCCAAGCACCTCAGAAATGCCAATATGTTAAAGTGGGAGCAGTGCGTGAGATGGATGGGGACAAACAGCAATCTTTGAGGAGCATTGTTGTCGCAGCAGCACTGAAACAGGCATGTCTGTGCTACCTGCCATTGTTATCGGATGTACTGACAGACAACATGTTGATGGAAAGGTCAAATGTTCCTTAAACTGTACAGGTTTCGAATATATGATATCTATATAATAATATAACCACTAATATCTTCTTTAGCCCAGGATATTTGTAACCATCACTGCAAGAATAGAAGGAATGGAAAAACCTTCTGCAAGTTATGTGAAGAACATAAACGTTTACTCTTACATATTATAGGATGAGATGAGAGATATCTGGATGGAAATAACTGCAGGCACAGAGTGTTCACAGAGCAATTTATATTGTGATATAAGCTCATGTAGATGCTTGGTGTTTATGTGTGTTTGGTATGGATAAAAATGGTTGGTTTGGGATTCTAGCTGAGCCTCCTAGCTTCACGGAGGAGTATGGCAGGATAGGGGACCAAATACAAATTGCACAAAAATCAATTGTCGTTCCTGGTACCGGGGGATTTCAGGGCTTAACAGGTTGCATAGAGATCCCCTGAAGAATATGGATGACCGAGGCAGACCTAGAAAGCTGTTTTATATTTCCAGACTTTCTCTTTTATTTTGCATTGTTTGGCATTCACCTGGGAAGTGTAAGCAAAGCTCCCCTACAAAGCCAAAATTCAGTGATAACATACAGTTTAGGGTGACCAGAATACCTTTGTGTTAAAACCATAAGAATGTTTGACCTTTCCTTTACCATGTAAAAATATTTTTTAAATTATGCTATAGAATAAGAATTTTAATACAAATTTACAAAACAGAGCTAAAAACCAAGCCAGTCTGCACTGTGGCAGCATGTTTTCTTTGACTCAGTAAAAGAAAGGAAACATTTACCTGACACTTTTATCCAAAGCAACTTACAATTGCTATACATCTCAGAGGTCACATGCCTCTGGAGCAACAAGGGGTTAAGTGTCTTGCAGAGAACACAATGGTGGGTAGGTCACAGTGGGGGATTAAACCCTGGTCTCTCCAGAGAGGAGCCAAAGGCAGGTGTCTTATCCATTGCGCCACCACCACCCCCTAATAATCTAATAATCACCAACCTAGCACTCACATTAGCCTTAGTGTTGCCAGATTATCTGCTCTTGTTCTGCTGATCTTGTTTTGTCTAACATTGACTGTCAGCCTGACTTTATACCCAGTAAAGGAATACTTAAACTCTGTTTGCATTGTCCATCAAGTCTCCTTATGAGCCCTCTAGGAGTGCCAAATGTCTGTCCCAACTTTGGCGGTGCAAGAAAAACAAGAACAAACATGCACACCCATTTTGTTGAATTTTATTATAGTCACTACTACTATGACTGACAGTAACTAAGATACTTGGAACACTCCTACATACACACACACACACACACACACCCCACCACATCAATTATGTTAAAAATTAATTTAGGTGTTGAATAAAAAGCTTTCAATATCATGTTTCCTCATATCCTTATTACATATGTTACGTTTTACCCCAGCGTATGTAATGTTGCATTTAAGCTCGAGTGTATGTTACAATTGTCACAGCTCAGCTCTTGGACTATAACAAAAACAGGAGACACGAGGGTAAACTAAATAACAAAATGATTTATTAAAAAGAAAATGACCAAAGCCAATGAGTGGGTAGAATCTGTAAAGTCAGTAGTATAGGGAGTGGATGAACGAAAATGTGCTGTGGGATGTTGTGCTGTAAAAACAAAGACAAGAAATCAAACACAATAAAGGAAGCAGTGAGATGAGGACTGCTCTGGCTTATATGCATGGGGCACACCTGGCCCAGGTGTGTCCTATGCTGCTGATTACCCTGCCAATCAGGTCTGCAGACCTGGAGACAGAAAGCACACCAACAGCAATATGAACCCTGCAGAGAGGCCATCACACAATTAACCTAGACTATGGGGTGAATTCTGAAGTTTTACTCCTTGTGTTTCAGACTAAACCATGCATTTTCTGTCTGTGTTGCAGCTACACAATTTAATAGACACATGTAACTTGTTTTATAACATTTTGAACGCACTGGCTTAAAAGAGCTCAGAGATAAAGACAAAATTTTAAAAAATGTTACAACCATCCCCGGTCTCCCCTAATGCACCTGTTTCTCTTCTGTTTCTGAAGTGTAATGTGATCCATTCCTTCAGTGGTTTAATTGTTCTTAGAGTCATATCCACTTGTACATCTGGCAGCACTTAGAGAAAGTGCCCTGTCTTCTCCAAATGCTTGTAGATTGAGCACAGAAACAAAATGATGACCATACACAGTGACCCCAAGTTCAGGTGTCAAGGTCAGAAGAAGTGGCTTTCTCTTCAACATGTAATTTTTTATTAATTAAATTAAATTAATTAATTTATACCTTAGAAATGTATGGTCAAACTGTGGTATGTAATGGTTTTGTTGCACCTAGCTTTCTTTAACCCCCTCAGGTTCAAAGAAATTAACGGATGCCTTTTTTATGTCTCTGCTGACTGTATGGAGGTATTATGTTTAAGTGAGATTATTTAGCTCACCGTGGGAATATGCTGTATTTTCCTGCATCAGAAATATACCAACCTGCTGTTGGTCATTCTTTACTAGGAACAGAGTTGCCAACATGGAGCGACAGTAAATGTCTTTCAGATTTCGAGGCACAAGGTGTACCTGTAGACCCACTGCTGCCGCAGCATGCAGGGTGACCAAATATCACCTATGAACTGGGTCATTTCTGATTTTCACACATTTGTGCTATAATGTGTCAGTGTATCATTTTTTTTAACATGAAAAAGGACATGGGGCACACAAAGAGGCAGCAATGTCAATACTGTCTTGTGACATCACATTAAAAACTATTTAATATGTTCTGTTATCTTACTTTTAATTACAGGCCTCTATTAATAATGGCACTAAATTTAATGCACAGTTGTTATAGAGTTGTTGCAGGATGCTTTGTTTAAAGTTTTGCATCTTACTCATATTTCAAGACAAAATGTTGTGGTTACACTGTAGTATTTATGCCTTCACACATACCACTATATATATATATATATATATATATATATATATATATATATATATATCACTTGTAAGTTCACTTGTTTGTTATTTTACATTATTAAAAACTAATTAACTATACAGATACAAAATCTGGATTGACAAAATACTGTAGCATTTTGATAAATCAGAAGTGATCAATAGGCTAACCTTTTTCAAAGACCTACACTTCAAAGTCACATCCATCCATCCATTCAATCATTCATTTATTCTAATATGTAATCATTCATTCATAATGTCTTTCTAGTTAGTCTTTTTATACAGACAGTGAATTTGTTTATGTAAATAACATAACTTGTAGATGATGAATTAAAGATAACTTTAGCTTATGAAAAGGACTTAAAAGTGAAATATGTCTCAGATTAGAAGGAAACCAGACTGTCATGAAGGGTGCTGGAGGATGCAGAGAACTAACACAGCCAGGAAAAGCTGGTCCAGATGTCCAAGGTTAGATTCTGTAATTTAAGAGGAACGAGATAATAAAAATAATGACAAATGAACGGAAGTGTACAGTATATACGTACTAGGGTTGAGCTAGTACTCTCTTGACATTTTAAATACCATCAGAGCAACTAATGATAATGGCCAAGCAGTTACAATAAAAGCATTTTAGCGGCTTGCTCCTGAGGTTGAGACTTACATGTCCACATGCCAATGCACATTCCACACATGGCAATGACGTTGGAGATCTGAAGTGCTCTGCCGCACTCTGGGCTCATCAGACAATTCTTTGTCTGCAAGCAGCACCTGGGACAGCTGCTCCCTGAGCTCTTGCCCTCCGTGTCCTTGTTTTTCTGGGGCTGAGTTTGCATCGTATCCTGATGCTTTCCATCCCACTCCTCACTCTCACCTCCTCCCATATTTCTTGAGTATGTTAGTTTTTCTTTAGTTTTTTACAAAAGGCAAGTGGAATACCGTGGTTTAGGATAGCTGGATCAGCTCTGTAAAGAAAGTGGAAGGAATGGAACTTTGGTTTTAGGAATGTTTGCAACTACGCAGGTAACATTCCTACCTCAAACACTCATTATAATCTTAACAAACATACAGTAACACCCTAGTCTATTTAGGTAAATGTGAAATTAATTCTATGAGACATGCCACTGTGCCCCACTGAATCAGTGTGATGAAGATGTCTCTTCTCAGATAAATCCGTATCAGTCCTTTTAAATAGAGCACACAGCATATTATGAGCAAAACTGTTCAGTGTCATTAAAGAGAAATCGTCTCCCACAAGTGTGAATCATTAACACTGCGGTTTAAACTTAAACTTTATGAACCCTTTATTGAGTGAAGTCGCATTGATTTGACAGATTAACAATTCTTCCACAGTGATGATCATTTCTCCTGCCAGGAGTAGAGCCCCCCTGCTTTAACTGTCGGATACAATTGCTCCCCAAAGACATTATCAGATATTAAGTGATAACCCTGATGGTGAAAAACATCTTATCTGTGCCATCCAGTGGCTCCCCATTTATTAACATTGACAGTAAATTAGATTGCTGGCATCTGGAGGGTATACTGGCATTTTGAGTGCACCATTCCATCTCATTCTGTTTTCAAAACTCCATTGGTTTTCAATCATATGTAATGAAATTCCATCAGCTTCCTTGGCTATAAAAGCAACTTGGAAAGGATGTGAGAGATGGTCATTAAGAGTAGAGAAAACTAGTATTGGTCTTACCCTTTGCTTTCGGAGTTGCCAGGCAGTCGGTTTGAATCTTTTCTCTTTGTTGCTTACATGCTGTTCTGACCAACAGAATGACAAGGCTTTCCTTAGAGGAGACTAGTGAACACAAACCTTCACCCTTACATACACTCGGATGCTGTCATGAGCAACAGAGTGTGTGAAAGTCTGTGTTTATGTCAGCCTGAGCCTACATCAGCAGAGCGGGTGTGTGTTCAGGTTTAACAGGTTTGACCAAGTGGACTACCGTGACTTGAACTTATATAAACAAGCCATTTAGTTTCGTGTATGAGTCTTAAGGTGCAATTAGTAATGCAAGTGTAAACTCAGAGGTTTGGCCCACCAAAAACTCAAAATAAATTGTAAATTCCAACATCTCACAAAATAATTGACAGCTTGTTTACTGTATTAAACTCAAATATTTTCTAATGCTGTTAAATGTTTGTTTTCATCAGTAATGCTTGTAAACACACCAGTAAAGCAGTCTTATTTTTTCAATTATGTATATGAACATGCTATTTGTGTTAGATAGCGACATAGATAGATACTCAACTGGAGGTCTGAAATGAAATTTCAGCATTTCATTTGCATAATTCCTTTTATGCAAATGAAATGCAGTAATGTGGAAATACAATTAAGTTTTAATAAATAATTGCACAGAATAATTAATTGATTAGACAGCACATTTCATGACATGGTAAACAATGATGAATGGAGAAAATCAATTTAGAGAAGCTATTTAAGCACAAACAATTTGAATCTGGATATATTCAAAGAAATGCATTTCATTAAGAAAGGGAATTACTTTCTGAACTATTAATCATCTATAAATGTAACAATGTTAAATGCAGTCATTTATTAATTCTGTCTCTATAATACATTTGAATCGGTGAATAGGAAGAGAGGAAAACATTGATGTCTGTGTGTGTGTGTGTGTGTGTGTGTGTGTGTATCAGGATAGTGGCAACAATAAGAGATGTCCATAAGGTTTTATCTTGTGCATGATTCTGTAATAATCAAACACAAACGAATGGCATTTTCATCCAAGGACATACAGTCGTTGTACTTACGAGTTGAATTGTGAGAACTTTTCATTCCACGTTGACAGCCACAGTGGTGAGTGGTAGCAGTAACAGATGTAATGATATGATGACTGATATACAAAGGAAACTTAAATTCCATTTGTCACTTATTTTCTTACATACAGTACATTTTAACTCTCCCAGAGTTGTTCAACCATTACATTTGTATACAGAATATGCCACTTCTTGACAATAGTTGTAATCCCCACTGGAATCCGCGATGATTGTGTTTACCAGCCACCACAGTTTTGAAATTACCACTTTTACAAGCCAAAGTCAAATTAAAACAAAGTTACCTAATAGGTTTGAGGTAAACATTATAAGGGGACATTGCATTTCTCACATGTTCACATATGGAAAAAAATACTAATAGAAATATAATGTATTTGATGAGTCACTTTAACTAACTATAACAGATGTGTTTTATCTGCTAGAAGTTGAAGTTTAGACCAGAACCCGCCCCCAAGATTTACACGTTCATCTTCATGTTTACACTGCATATTTAATGAAGCAAATCTCAAAATCCATTTCTGATTTATATTACTTAATCATAATGTTCAGAGCAACATGCATAACAACAACAACAACAATAACAATATGCATATATCATTTACATTTACTCATTTGGCAAAGTGACATACCAGCATCAATAAAGCATCAAATACAGCAAGAGATCTACAGCTGACAATACATACTAGTGTAGCATGACTACATTGTTTTAACAAATCAATGAGAATTAATACCCAATTATGAATTTTTAATATTCAGAAAATATTAATTCACAAAGCTTCTCGTTTCGCGGGGAACCACCAGAGATCCAATTCGCCCAGAGTCTCCGGACCTCTGAGTATGGTTAATAACTAGACAATTACTAGTGATCAGTTAGTTAACAATCGCTCAATTATCTTAAATCAGTCAGTCAATCTCATATCGAAGGGTAAATTCTCTTGACAGGGACTTGGAGACGGGCAATACACACAGAATTTCTTTGGTTGACTTACAGTAAAATTTATTAACTACCTAAGGTGAATATAAATGCGGTTACATATACATCAAAGTAATAAACAATGGCTAAACAATGAGAATGTGGAGCTCTACTGTGGGAGAATTTGACTCATACAGCAGCTAATGAATGCAATTAGATGATAACTCGGTTAAATTTGTCTAGGAGTTTCAAGGATTAAATATGCTGGACTAACCAACTATTGGACATCACTGATCACAAAATGCAGGGTTTTGCTTGTGTCTCCCCCTGCCGGGTTGCTGGTAAAACGGCCTCACACTGGCAGAGTCCGTGCATTCTTGGTTAGGACAGCTTCAAGCCGTCAGCCAGTCGCTTTCTCTGCCAGGGAATTGCTCCGGAGGTCCGTCTTTTGTAGGCTTATTGAATAAACTTGCAGTGGGGGCCAACCCTGGCGCGGGTCAAAGGTTTGGTCGTCCTTTGTTATTGCTGGTGGGACCACATGGTTGACCCAGGAGTCGGGGATCAGTGTAAGTTAGCTTGACGAAATAAAGCTTAAAACTTCGTCGTTCTTCAATTAAACTTGTGTAACTTAATGGACTGATAATGTTTACAAACAAAAAGAAAGAAAATAAAACAACAAGTAAGTTGCTGGAAACGAGGGAAAAATCGATGTCGCCGCGCTTCGCGTGTGTAGCTTGAAAAGAACAAAGGGTGTTCGCTGCGCCTGGAGACGGGGCGCGCTGGGCGCGTGCCAACGCACAGTTTGAGGATGCCAGGAACCAGCAGAGGACAAGAGAGAAGAGAGTGAAGTCGCGCTTTTGTTGGTTGGGGCGTGGTTCCCAGAGGGCAGTCCTTTGTTTCCCTGAGGGCTTGTTTCTGGCTGAGAAGACTTTTCTTTAAACTTTTAATATGTCTAATCAAAACTATTTGCGCGTATTGTAATCAAATATATTCCCACAATCAAACCTTAATTGATAAACTTGATAAAAGGAAAACAATTGTCAGTAGTTCAACTTTGAGGCTAGCATTTCAGAATGACATGTAATACCTATTTTGTCCACTTGGGGGAGCTTGGGTTACATGAGGATAGCTCTGATTGATCCTAAAACGATCTTTTTAGGAGCTGGGGAATTTAGTCATTTTTAACCTTAAATTCAAGCTGGTAATTAATCGAGTATAGGATGACATTTCTTTATCATATCCTTTCTACAGGAATTGTCAAAGTGTTGGGAACAAGTATTGGTTACACATAAAATGAAGGAATGTCATTAACCTTGCTGAAAATTAAAACACTGCAAAAATTAACTTATTTAGATTCTTTTCACAGATAGCAACAACATGGTAAGATAACTATTAACCTAGGAGGCAGCGCCACTACTAACTTAGCAAGGATTATTATTTAAAAAGAACAAAACAGTTTATAGTGAAACATTGTTTTAGCTCAGGAAGGCGGAGTCGGAAGGAGTCATTTGTGTCTCCCTTTCGCATTCCTGGCTTATCACACTTGCACAAAAGTCTTTGTTTGCACAAAGAAGTTCAGGGCTGTGTCTCTGGTGTTCTTTCCAAATTTACATCTGGCTGTGAAAAGGAGTATCTCCTTTGATGAGAGATAATTAAACAAAGAGCATAGTGGCTGAGAAGGAATGTAAACTTGTATTATGGGGCTTAGTAGATAGGTGCAGATCCAGTAGTCACTCTGTATGCAAGCATTAGTGACTTGAATCTGATTCTGGAGGCCATGGGTAGCCAGTGGAGGTCACATAGTAATGGAGTGACATGAGTCCTTTTGGGCTGATCAAAAACCAGACGTGCTGCTGCGTTCTGAATCATTTGTAGGGGTTTCACCGCACAAGCTGGAAAACCTGCTAGGAGGGCATTACAATAGTTGAGGCAAGAGATAACCATGGCCTGTACCAGAAGCTGGGTGGCATATTGAGTGAGTTAGCGCCTGATTTTTCTGATGTTGTATAGAGCAAAGCGGCACGACCGAGAGACAGCTGCAATATGGTCTGACAAAGACAGCTGGTCATCAATCATGACACCCAAGTTTCTCACCATCCTGGTTGGAGTGATGGTAGAGTAGCCGTAAAGTAGTAGTAAATAAAGTCCTGCAATCAAAAATGTATTAATAATACATTTTGTATTAATAAAAAAATATTAATAAAAAAAATTAATAACAATTTAAAAAATACATTAAAAAATAATAATTATAAAATAACATAAAATAATAATAACAATACTTGGGGGTCATAGCAAGGTTGAACAACAGAAGATGAAGAGGGGTGTGAAATTGGGGGTTTGTATTTGGGCACGTCCGGTCTTATCCTCTAATAGCGGTGGTGGGGGTCGATCACCAAAAGGTGAAGACAGGTGTGAAAAGGGTGGTTTGTGTATGGGGGATGTCCGGTGTTATCCTCTAAAAGCGGATGTTTGGGAGTGGCTTTAGCAGTCAGTTGTATATATAGAGGGTTAGTTCTAACCGAGAGCGTGGAACAGGGTGGCCGAACGATTTTTGTTAATCCGTATCGGACAGAGCTATCTTCGTGCAGAACAACATCGCCATCTTTGCAGCATCACAATCATGGACGTCACAGGTAATCAATTAGGAGTGACTCCAAAACGACGTATAATTATAGATCCTGTTGCAATGAGTATGGCTCCTAGAAAGAAGACTCTCCCAACAACATTGGCTGATTTTGGCTTGGGTGCCTCAGTTTGAATGGGCGGTGGAAGATTTTAGAATGTCGGGATTATTGTTTGAGCACGGAACAGTTCATCTTTATACAAGAGAGCTTGATGAAATTTTTCTTCGTGAAAGCACACCGCACATTAGTTTTTCAGCCAAAGACTGGAATTACTTCAGAAACAAAGTCTGTAAGGATATGAGTGCTTCAAAAGGAGTCTACACCACACAATGGTGCAGCTCTGTGCCTGGAGAGCTCTACCGTGTAGAGACAGACCTTGAAGTCTACGACCCAGAATCCTACATCTTTTTTAGATCATGCAAGGACGATTCTATCATTCAAAATGCAAGAATGGGGACTCCAGAGCAACAAAAAGGCTACCCCATCAGAATTAGAATCTGTTTTATTGCCAGGTATGTGTACACATACGAGGAATCCGACTC